GTGTTGAATTATGTAAGGTTATCAAGTCTGCATTACTAGCTAAAAGCAGGTGTGTTGAATTATGGAAGGTTACCAAGTCTGCATTACTAGCTAACAGCTGGTGTGTTGAATTATGTAAGGTTATCAAGTCTGCATTACTAGCTAACAGCAGGTGTGTTGAATTATGGAAGGTTACCAAGTCTGCATTACTAGCTAACAGCGGGTGTGTTGAATTAAGGAAGGTTACCAAGTCTGCATTACTAGCTAACAGCAGGTGTGTTGAATTATGTAAGGTTACCAAGTCTGCATTACTAGCTAACAGCAGGTGTGTTGAATTATTTAAGGTTACCAAGTGTGCATTACTAGCTAACAGCAGGTGTGTTGAATTATGTAAGGTTATCAAGTCTGCATTACTAGCTAACAGCTGGTGTGTTGAATTATGTAAGGTTACCAAGTCTGCATTACTAGCTAACAGCTGGTGTGTTGAATTATGTAAGGTTACCAAGTCTGCATTACTAGCTAACAGCTGGTGAGTTGAATTATAAAAATTTTACCAAGTCTGCATTACTAGCTAACATCGGGTGTGTTGAATTATAAAAATGTTACCAAGTCTGCATTACTAGCTAACAGCGGTGGGTTGAATTATGTAAGGTTACCAAGTCTGCATTACTAGCTAACAGCTGGTGTGTTGAATTATAAAAATGTTACCAAGTCTGCATTACTAGCTAACAGCTGGTGTGTTGAATTATGGAAATTTACCAATCCTGCATTACTAGCTAACAGCTGATGTGTTGAATTATGTAAGGTTACCAAGCCTGCATTACTAGCTAACAGCAGGTGTGTTGAATTATAAAAATGTTACCAAGTCTGCATTACTAGCTAACAGCGGATGTGTTGAATTATAAAAATGTTACCAGGTCTGCATTACTAGCTAACAGCGGGTGTGTTGAATTATAAAAATGTTACCAAGTCTGCATTACTAGCTAACAGCGGGTGTGTTGAATTATGGAAGTTTACCAAGCCTGCATTACTAGCTAACAGCTGATGTGTTGAATTATGTAAGGTTACCAAGCCTGCATTACTAGCTAACAGCTGGTGTGTTGAATTATGTAAGGTTACCAAGTCTGCATTACTAGCTAACAGCTGGTGTGTTGAATTATGTAAGGTTACCAAGTCTGCATAACTAGCTAACAGCTGGT